ATATTCTCAACCAGAATTACCCACACAAAGTCAAGTTCTTGGTTAACAGCTCAAGTCAGAAGAGGTAAAAATATATAATGGTTTAAACAAAAACCAAAAGAAATCACTCTACAAAATTGCTAATGCTGACTTTCCACAGATTTCAAATTACAAGAAGCCAAAAACGCTATGTATAAAGTAGTCCAAAGAAGCAAGAACTAAAGTTAAAAAAATTGGCATTGCTTCTATTTTAAAACTCAAGAGAGCTATTTTGTAGCAGTGTTTTGCCACTTCTAATAATGTCTTTTAAGGAGAAAACTCTCCAAGTAAGAGATAGAACTACAATAAATGAGATTTTAAAAATAAGCTGTAATCTCACAATCCTTACTAAATAAACACTGCTGTTGATGCAAGCTTCATTGTGCTCTACAGCAGCATAAGCTGCCCAGGATACTTTTAAAACATGCAGACTAAAACATGCAAAAAATTTATCCATAACCCCCAAAGTCCTGTTTTCTGGGAGAGAAAGAATTTACAGAGACTCAATACAATTCTACCCTCTCTTTTCCCCTGCTCCCTCATCGCCTTTATTAACTCAATATGCCCCTACGTTCACTTTAAAGACTTCGTTGCTATGGGAATTTATTTCCATATTTTATTGTCAAGGAGAAAAAACAAGATTTTGGTGATTAAATGTCACAGAAGCTCTGAATTTTGCACAACCCAATCACATCTCCAGCCTTAGAAGTAATCTGTGTATGTGTCTGAAAGTCTTACCATTCTGATCATAAAAACGTACATATGTTCCTCCTGGCATTTAAGAGCCAGGTACACAAATTCTCCCTCCCTTCCCCCAAAAGCTTCTGGATAATTTTAACATAATTTCCTCATGTGCATTTTCAATTAGTTTCCTAGAAACTTAAGAACAAAAAATATTTTGTTTTCCCCCTCCTCCTAGCGTGGACTATCTGCAGCATCAAGGGATTCTTCTCTTTTCTAAGAGACATTCAAGGTTAGTGAGGCTAGAAATTTACCTCCTAACAACTGACCCATAAAGTCAGCTACAGGACTGCAAGCCTGGGTTCCTTCCTTCGCCATACCTAATCTACATTGCAGCTGGAAAAAGAAATACAGGCATATGTACAAAATATCATTCGGTTGCTCCAGTAAATATGCCAGAAAATGTTTGCTGCCTTATATCAACCAAACTGGCCGTTTCTACTGTAAATCTCATATATTTGCATTTTCCCTCTTTTTAATATTGCAACTGTCTACATAAATTAATGTTTAGAATCACTCAGCTTGAAAAAAGCGTGCACGTAATCATTAAATCATTACGACTTCAATAAAAATGAGCATAAGCCAGGAAATTCAAAATTAAACCTAATACCAAGAAAAAAAGTCTCCCTCATGGCTCAGGGTTTGTATATGTTTCTGCTCCTTCAAAACATGTTCTCCCAGGTCTGGAATCAGAGCTCACGCTCGTGTACCAGGAATGGCTCTCTCTTGGGTAGGACTCTAGGAAGAAAACTGTCTTTGAAAATAGAGTTCTATCGAACAGACTCAAGCAATGCTTTCCAAATACTACAGTTCTGAAACTTAGATGACTACAGCTAAGATGCGCAAAAAATCAGGAGCCTGATCTTCCCATCCTCTCGGCAGTGTTACCTTTCCCGCATGGGCTGTAACGCACTGCTGGGAGTCAGAACTTGGAGCATCCCGAAGTTGCACCTGCTCCCTAATCTAGTCGATTCTCATCGGGGACATACTTGCAGGTTTTTCTTTTCTGACACTATTATCGGTGCCCAGACTGCTGGGAGCAGACAGTCAAGCTTGCTATTTAGCTGTGAATGACCAAGTGCAATGGGTTCACTCAGTAAAGGTCCCCAGGAGCTAAAAGCATTCAGCACTTCATCAAATCAGGACATTTAGGTGCCTAAACATGACATTAGGAGGCTAATGTAAAGTACTCATGATTGAACATTTGTATGCAAGGCGCAGGTATAAACTTTGTGTGGCATTTAACAAACACAAGGGATACATACTTGATGAATACAATCATGAATGCATGCATTTTAACCAAGACACCAACACAGGTTTAAGCAGAAACGCAGAACTCCTGAAGCAAATCTACACAAAAGGAATTATACCAGGAGACCTTTAACTCATTAAGACATCACTTAGCTTTAGCATCGTATGTTGTTTTTCCTATTTTGTGGCCAGTACCCAGGCAACTGACTCATGGGAGAAGCAGAGCCAGCGGAGAAAGGGACATGGCTTTCCAGCTCATGAACAAACAGAAAATTGAAGATGGGCCAAAGCTGCATGTTTCTTATCCCTCAAAGTTCACAGGTACCCAAGTCCCCTTATCTCAGCATAAAATACTTAATATGTTGACTTAATACTATCGAAAAGCATGAAATTTAACTGTTCTTTAATATTGATATTTTAAATAGGAATATTGCCAGCTGTTAGAAAAACACAGTTTTACAAAGCTTTCTCAATTGGGGAGCTAAAGTCATCACTAAGACAAAGAAAAACGAACACCTACAAATATTCCTAATGTTCTGAAGCACAGTTGTTACACACTAAGGTAAGTTTGGTGCTTTCAACTTGATTCCTTAAATATTTTGAAAACATTAAAAGCTAGGAGAGCAACATTGCCAGATTGATAATATTTGCAAAGATTTTGTAAACTCGAAAGTAGCAAGCCCACCAATATGCTGTAATTAAACAGCACCATGAAAAAGTCACACTGTTCTTGATGTTAGTAATTGGCACATAACCTCAGAATGAAAAATAAGTGCCAACACCAACTGTGCAAAGTCCCTGGAAACTTTTGCACCCTGTGCCTCACAAGAGATCCCTTTTAAGCCCAGGGGAAAAATGGAAGAACACAGCATACTTTGCATGCTACCATGCAGTATAAATCTTAGGCAAGACTGAAAACAGTGACAATCTTTCTCTAGCAAACTAACCTCTCTGTTATATTGAAGGCTCTTCATGTCCTCAGAGTGTCTGTAAATATGAAAAGGCTTCTATTTATTTTTTTTTATTTACTTATTTATTAAAGAAGCCTTTGCCTTTTCCATCTTTGCAGAGAGGCATTCTTAAATATAGGCTCCAAAATACTATTGTAGACTTCAAGTGCGTAGACAAAAAGTAATGCAGATTTTAGTAGCAATTCCAATAAAGACATTACAGATTTAATATTAAAATATAATCCATTTTAAGCCAGTGACTTCAGCAAGACAGCTTACGATTCCTCATTTTAAAAAAAAAAAACAAAACATTTGCTAAATGCGCCTTAGGATGCTGTGTTTGTCATATGTGATCTGTTTCAGTGGTTTCAATCACCCCACGAAAGCATTTTCAGGAAACAACAGCTATTTATACATACTGATGTCCAACTCCGTACCACTCCACTGACATCACAGGGACCTGCAGGAGATCAATATCTCCGAGAAGAAAGATAGTGGAGGCCAGTCTTGCTTTTCTTATTTCAGGATCAAAAGGAAAAGCAGCAAGGAGCTGTGGGAACTACAGGAAACAGCAGTATTAGCTACTTGAAATTGTCAAGAAAAGAAGTAAATTGCAAAAAGCTGCTTTTGTCTATGAAATATCTGCTGGGGGGGAGGGGGAGCGAGGGTCAAGACCGTACAGGCCTCACGCTGCTGCCATCCAGCAGAGTGAAGAGAAAAGCACCAGGCTGGCTCATCTGCAAATATGAGCAATCTATGTGCAGGCACATTCGTCTCAGCATTTCCACAATTTTGTACAGGCTTAACGCTGCCAGAAAAATTAACCCCCAGTTGACCAGTGCAGAATGAGAGATCACAGCTAGGGAACAAACTGTGGCAATGAAGCTCCCAGTCTTTTCCACAGCTCTTGAAATGCTAAAGGTTACCCAGCCCATAAATGTAACATTTAACACCTTAGCGCACCTGAATATGCAGCTCTTGCTAGACAAAATGAACCTGCGAGAGGTCAGGTCATGTTTTGAAGCTGTAAGTTATTTATTATTTTTAATTGGGACAAAAGTAGTCTCAAGGAAAAGTACGTTTACTAAATACCTGACTCCAAGGATGAAGTCTGTCCTGCGAGGGAGCAGCTGCTGCCCTAACAGCCTAAACACTGCCACCCAAAGACAGGGGACTAAGGCTGAACCACACCCACACAAGTGTTTGAGAGAAATAACTTGCAAAATAATAGCTTACCGATCAGGTCTGCCAAAAGTATCCTGGCCTGTGGGGAAGTCCAAGCACAATAAAATTCTTCATATTGTTGAAAATAGGCAGAAAATAAACCGTCAAGCTAGATTTTAAATAGTGATAAAACGTGCCGTAAAACGGCACAACTTGTAGACGGAGAAGAGGTGAAAAACCAGCCAGACTGACTACTGCATTGCTAAGGCTTTAGAGGTCCTCAGAAGAGAATGCTAAAACTGCAAATTTAAATCAAGAGTAGCATTTTATTTTGAAAGTGCTTTCCAAAGCATGATAGTTCTAAAAGTAGCAACTTCAAACAGTAAAGAATGCAGAAAGTGGCTTATTTAAAGTTTAGAGTGTTCTCAAAAATCAGTAGCTTCATCTAATACCCAGCTGGAATCATACATATCACCCACAACTAAGGCTGTTCCAAGACCATAAAAGAAAGTAGCGTTTTATAAAACTTGGTTTGGTGGTTGACCATGCCATCCATGGAGGCCCCAGGTTTACATCATTACCTTAAATAAAACATAGGCCTCCAATAAAATTGCTTTTGCAAAACCAGTACTGTTATAATAGCACAGAAGGTTAGATAATGCATCCTGCAATCCAATTTGTGGTTCACGTTAAGCTATAGATACCAATAACTAATTCCACATGTGAGACAGACCTCCCGGAGGGAAATTTTAATCAAATAAAAGATGGAAAAAGAGAGGTTTCCTTATTTTAGTATAACAAACCCTCTGTACTAACAATATGTTGACTTGGTAAAATGTTACTGTACTGTAGCAGTGGAATATTAGTAGAACATACATCTGGTTTAGTTATTTCTGTAAGGCTGTTTGTACACATAAACCACAGAGCAATAAATATTTTATCATTACATTATATTAAAAATGAGCTTTAAATGCATTTGCCCCATCTTTTTAACTGCTCATGTTGTCCAGCTCCATTCCCATTCAAAAAAAAAAAAAAAAAAAGGAAAGAAGGGCAGCACAGTAGGGTTTGTATTAGCTTTGTACTAGTAATTGGACAGAAGCCTGTGTACCGCAATGTTGATTAATGGTTCTGCTCTCAAGCTGGAGATTGCAAGTACAAAAGAATTAGGCCTCTGAATTTGCATATTTTCTACAATTATGAACTTGATCACAGCTCCCTCCTGTTTTCAGGTTCCCCCCTCCCACTCCTACAGTTCTGGTGGTTTAACTTGCACCAGTCTAGCTGCTGACAGGTACAATCATCCGATACCTATGATACATGACAACTCAATCAATCTGCATACCTGCTATGCAACTTACACTGCAAATGACTCAAGGTCTAAAATGCTGAAAAATCAAACAAAAGCCTAACTATCTTCCATAAGGAATGCTTTGCCCTAGTAAAGCACCACTTTGGGTTTTTTAATTGCTCTCATTTCAGACAACTCATTTACAACCACAATAAATACACTTCCATCAAAACCTGCTGATTTAAAGACAGCAAATACATTCTTGTCAGACAGTCAGACAGAATAAAATGGAGCTAACTAAATGAAACGGGGTCCAGACTGACAACTTTGCCAGTCAGAGCGAGAGCATCACAGCCAGACGGGAATACAAGACTTGGCAAAAGGAAAAAAATCAGCAGCCAAGTTCTACTGAATAACCAATACGCAGATGACAGGGAAAAGAGCTGGATATTTAATAAATAGCTACGATATACATTTTTAAAGTGCATTAAGAATAGCTTCTAAATAAGGGGTAATATTCATCTGCTCTGCTGGTGGGCCTGCTCTGCAACTGCATTGTTCAGAAGCCCTGCCAGTCTACTCAAATCGCACTGGGATGCTGTCACGTACTTGATGTGAAAAAAGTCGGACTCACATGGTAATAAGTGTGAGCCCAGTAAACACTGACTGGTCTTGTGTAGTAGCCACCATTTCGTATTTATTGGACACTCGGCCCAAAGGCAAGAACAAAATGGAAAAAACCAGGCTTATCACTCCAGTGCTATCTCCTGCTATTTGCTAGAGCATTTTTAAAGCTGCTTTTACCAGCTCATCCTTCGCTGCCCATCCTGGAGAAGGTCAGTGATTTTACTATTCTTTAAACATAATTAATCGTGTCTCAGTTTCCCCAGTGGTATATTCTGAAAAAGCTTATAGAAGATGAAAGCCATAGTCTGGCAGCAAGCCAGCCCAGGTCCTTAACCACCCACTCCCTCAAATCCCTCGCTCTCCATTCCTTCTTTCTGCCCTTGTACCTCAGCCTTCCTCTCAGTTTTTGCCAGTACAGCTGTTTGTATGGCAATGATGAGGACTGGATATAACTGAATCGGTATCAGGTTTAAAATAATTCCCAAAGATATATC